TGGTTTCTTTCAACATAAAATGAGTTTTCGGAGAAATATTGCATTTTTCCTTCAGTTTACTTTGTAATAATGTTTTTTATTTTTTAGCCCAGCTAACACAAGATTTTAAGAGTTAATATTGCTGTTCACCGCTTTGATGGCTTACGCTTATGGGACGAATTTTATAGTATAGTATTGCCCTGGAAATAACATAATTTTCCAGAAGTTTTTTTAGCAATTCTAATAATCGGGATGAGACTGCTTATTCGAGAGATCGCATAAAGAGATTTTTATTCATCAAAGTAATAATGTCTATAAAGTAATAATGTTGTCTATGAGTTGCCGAGTAACTGTATTTGATATCTAGGAGAATTTTATTTGTAACAATAGTCGTAAATATAATGCAGCAATAAAAAAATCAGTAGTGAAATAATGGTGGAACGATGTTATAATAATGGTGTATAATTTAATATCGGAATCGGATATACAGCGTAGCCGAATCGTCTAATTTAATTTAATTTTTTAAGATAAGTTTTTGTTTTTAAATTTAAATTCATTTTTTTTCTTCTTGTTTTCTATTTTTTTCCTCCCTGTTAATTTTATTTTTTGTTATGGGTAAATATGTTATAATTTCAAAAATCCAGATGGTTACTAGGGAATTTACGTGTAACTCTGTCCTCAAGTAACTTTATAGTGAAAGGGTCTGGTCTTGATGTGTTCATATCCTCAGGTGATTAATTCGATAAGTTTACGATACAAGTGCAGTAAAACCATCCCAAGGTGAAAATAAGATGTCAAGGATAAGGTGGCTCTCATGTCAGGGTATAAATGTTCGATATCTATCAAGGGAAATGAACAATTGTCAGTTGGCTCTTTAAATGCATGGCGAATTTTAACCCATATCAGAAATGAAATGGAACATCAGAATCCTTACATTGCAAACCAGTCATTTTCCAAACTCTTTCCAAAATTCGTGTGGATGTCGCCTGTCAAAGGTCCGTCTTCTCTATTTCGGGCCTCAAACAAAGCATGGCTCCTACAGAAATACTGGTTATATTATTGTGCGATTTTGGATAACTCGTGGTGAATTGACGTAGTATTATGTCTGGAAAAGTTCGGTCCGCTCTAATTGACCAGTAGCCAGTAAATAACACAGACCCCATATATTTTGAGGGTATTTTTTTGAAATAAAAGCTGGTGCTAATCCTTTCGCCTGCTATGTGAGACTAAATAGTGAACATCGCTTGTCCGTACTCAAAAAGTCTACAAATCGGTCTGCAGCGTCACATCATAAACCTTGAATACGCTGGTGATGTAGTCCTTTTTGCTAACATATTTCGCTATTTACTAAACCCTATGGCGTCAGAAGAATGAGGACCAATCATGGATTGATACAGTCAAGAAAAATTTTGAAAGTGTAAGGGAAATGGCTTCTATTATTTTCAGCGGTGATGTCGGACCAAAGGGCTTGGACACCCTTGAAGCCAGTGGAGTCAGCCTAACCAGTAATGGTAAGAATTGTTAGGAAAAGAGGAATATAGTTAAATTGCGATGACGCAAATCTTATTCTCCTGAGATTTTATGTTCATGACTTGTATCATGAGTAGATATATTTTCTGAAATTATACAAAATATTCTGAAGTTAAAATAAAATGACAACAAGGTACTATTATGTACAAATGACAATTAATACAAGTTATGGATTAAAGATTTAAATATTAGATTATCTCTTTCTTTTAAAAGAAAGATCACTGGATTATATTTATTTGTGGCGCTGGAATCCATTCTAGGACGAGTCTAATTTAGTCCTTGACTTAGTCCTCTAGAATTTAAAACAGTTCGATTCGGTATGGTCTGATTCTGGTATCGGTTGTCCGCATTTTTTCTTTTTAGACCAATTGTATCCAGCAAAATGTTTAGTATATCATCTGTTTGCTTTAAAATGCTATTTATTAAATGATTTGTATACCATACCTTTTCTGGGCTGTTTTCCCAATTTTTACTTGGCAAATCGTTTTTTTTTTCTTTTGGTAACATTCAGCAGAAATATACGTTCCTTGTTTTTTTTTGAAAGTGTTAGATTGCCCTTAAGAGCGACGTTTTGCATTACCTTGTCTCCTCATCTATATCTTCTACATCTTCTTTTGTGAAATGTTATTTCATACTTTTGGCAAATTTTGACGATGGAAAAGGTCTAGAGAAGTCGGAATTTTTGTTCCATTAATATGACTAAATAAAGCTGCTCTGTGCCGCTAACAAGAAACTTTGCAAAAATTTTGTGGTATCGTTTCTTTTGGCAAATACTATTTTAAATATGGAAAAAACTGCTTGGCCATTAGGCTAAAGATGGTAATATGGACTGGTGATTGATACCATTTTTTATAATAAAATCTTCAAAATTTATTCGATGTTAGTTGTCCCACTGAAAGAAGTTTCAAGACTTTATATCATGCAAAATTTTAACATAGAAGGGAAAATTGAAGTATTGATATTGATATATGATCCATTTGATTTGATATTTCTGGCCAGCGGGAGAAGGCATCAGCGATTTGTATTACTGGCCATACATAATCGGGCAACCAATATGGATTCTAAACTGCGGAATTGTTGTTCAGTTTGCAGTCGATGCTGAAGTTCCATATTCGGTAAGAGTAAATCAAAAATCTAGGTGATGCTGGCGATCAACCTGCACTTCTACCTGTACTTATTTCCAGTTGGCTTGTTAATTTGACTTAAGTGGAATTGATTTGGTCCGACGGAACAAGCCTAATTAGCGAGTAAGCGCTGTTAGAAAAACAATGTTAAATGAATTATATTTTGGAAAATCTGATAAAAATTTGATTATATAATTTATTTATATAATTAATTAATTTCTTTTACTTAAAAATTTTTTTGAAATATTTAGCTGATCCACTGCAGTGAAGAAATATTTTATTTTTCGGCTGATCTTTTTTAAGACAACCTACCCACTTTTCTTTCAATAAAATTTTCATATTTTCAGGCAGTATTCGGATAGATATTTTTGTTCATCAAAATATGTAAAATATGTTCATGTTGTTTCATATCAATCAATCTTTTTAGGAGTATAAGAAGAAATTAGCTATCATAATAAAGGTTTATAAAAAAAGAATACGGTTAAATAAGCCATTAAGGTCAGTGAATTAAATTTTTATAGGTAAGGAATATCAAAGGCTATTTGAAATGAATCATGGCCATGAATGAGCGAAATCACACGTTTGATTCAGTGAGGCATTGAAAAAGGATCCAATTTTCGACTTTCCCCAAGGCAATTTTGAAATTTTTATTATCAAATTGTGGAAGATTTGCCAGTTGATCTGTTCTGCATATACAATATTGTCAAAATAAATCAGAAATTAGAAATGACAAATCTTACTCAAAAATTCGGATCGAAAATTGGATTCAAAAAAAATGATGCATTTTTGCTGCAGTACTTTGTTAGGTATTCTTCTCCAAATAAGTTTTTGCAATAAATTGATAGAAACAATTTTATTTGTTGATCACAGTTTTAATTGAAATGAAAATACACAAATATAAGTATAAAAATAAAATACAAATTAATTTTGTTTTTCGCACTAGTTTTGGTAAAATTTTTACTATCCTAAATTTGAGAAATAATCAGTTTTCTGATCTTTTTGGTTTCTAGAAGCATGTAATTGAGGTGGGTGTTGTGAAGTTCGGTGGTGAATTAAATTATCAACTGATGTTACCTTTGGATCTTAATTTGAATAAATTGTTCTTCTCAAGGTAAGACAAATATTTTATAGCCTTAGCTATTTTATAGCCCAGCCATATTTTAGCACAAGGTACTTTTCCATTAACCGTTTTTATCAATATAATGTTTTTTAGTGAACCATGCTGAGTGATAGATATTGGGCTAATTATTCAAATGTTATTAATAATTGATTAATGCTATAATTTTTTCCCAAAAATAATTGCATAATTTCCAATTTTATAAGATTTGATTAAAACAATTTTTTTTTCACCGAATTACAAATATTTTGTGACTAAATGCGAGGGTATGAACAAGTTTCTTTATTTCACAAAAATTTGTACTCAGCGATTTTTTCAATTTTTTTTAGTTTTTTAGTTTTTAACTTTATATCAGATGTGTTCAGACCGGTATATCTAAAATTCGCATGGGAATTAATCTAAAAAGGCTATCTGTATATGTCGATTTACTTTGAAGTATTTTTTCTTTCACGGTTTTCAATTTTGGTACCTTTCAAGTTGGGATAAAGTTAATTTACAATAATACGATGAAATGAATACAGTGATCTTTGCAATGAATTGTCAAATTGTGCCGAATTCCAAGAATTCCAAGAATTAAAAAAATCCTCATTTAAATATCCTAAAATCTTAAAAAGTTTTTCAATTTTATTTAAAATTTAAAATTTTAAATTCATCTTAAATAAATTAATGAAAAAATTTTTCCAAAGCAATCTAATATGAAATATCTTGAGCTTTTATTCAACTTGTTTTCGATTGCTCTATAACATTTAAAAATTTTGTTCTGATTTGATCTGTGATTTATTCCTGTGATTTACATCATCATTGATTTCTTGAATTATTGTCTTTTGGGATGAATTATATTTCTATCTTACATTATATTTATTTTTACGTATTTGTATGCTGTGTTTATTATTTAAATATTTTTTCACCATTATTAAATCTTTATTAAATTACACTTGCATTTTTTATCTGCAAAGAAGTTGATCCATCTTTCATGATATGATTTGAAAGAATGAGTAGAAAATGAATTGCTATAGCTTAATAAAAATACCAATATATATCTTTATATATCTTTATGAGTCAGGTACCAATATATCTTTATGAGTAAAATAGATCAGCATATCTATGTTTATGTTTATGTTTATTTATCTATTTATTTATCTAGTAGTAATTTTTCATTGAGATGATTGATTATGTGGTGATTATTACATTAAGAAATCTGATTTAAAGTTATAATATAATGTTCGCTGAATATTTCAGTCACCTAAAATATGCAAAAAGTGAACAGCACCAAGCAATTATGTAATATACTGGACAAAAACTTGAGCAGAGGCAAATTTGAGGTAAATTTTCTGTTAAATTTACTTATATATGTATGACCCACTCATAACTATTAAATGGTTTTGTTTATTCGAGTGAGGGAAGGTTAAGCCGTCATATTAATTTTGTTAAAGGATGAGCTTGGGAAATGAAAAATTTCGGGAGCAAGACAACAAATGGCGAAAAAAAACGCGCTTTTCTGCTTTTAGAGATTTGCTTTCATTATCACTAGGTTTTTTAAGGTTGATTTATCGTCTTTTGCTCTTCTTTTTGCTGAAATGATCCGTTACGCAAACAATCGCTCAAACACTGTTAGTGACCTGCAAGATAAGTCTGTTTTCCATGTTATTTGGTTGAATTCGGTTAATTCAATTTAGGATTATATGGGTTAGCATAATGTTATAGGTTGGCCGACTATGGAAGATTTGTCGGAAGTCGATTACTGGATGTGATCGTTTTCCGTGAGAAAGGATACAGGCGCGAAACGAAGTTATTAAATATGTTGATGTTTATTAAAGGAACTATTTGGAAAAATTTATTTAACAAAGAGGCTGATAAATTGGAACGAAGCAACGATGATCCTTGCCAATGTTAAATTTACTTTCTTCAAATATCAGGTTATCCATAATTTTAGCTCATATTTTCAATAATTCTATTTATCATTTTAGATTTGTTAATCGAAAGAGAACCGATTGTAAATACCTATATATCTGTACCAAAAGACAAAGGAAATTTAAATTGCGCATCGTTTATTGCAGGGATTATTGAAGCCATGCTAGAAGTAAGGTCTATTTAGGATTATATAGGTTAGCATAATGATTATAGATTAGTAGACTATCAGTAGAGCTAGACAAAACACTATTGGAAAAAGAAAGCAATATCTGGAAATGCTAAAAAGGAGTTACAGTGATATTTTTTACATTATTTTTTTGCAAGGGTTTAATAAATTAGGAATAAAAATTTATAGGCTAGTAATTTTCCTTGCAAAGTAAGCGCTCATTGGCACAATGGAACAACATATGTTTTACAATTTGAAAAGTTAGTTATAGCAAGAGAAGGCATAATTTTGGATTCAAATCGTTAACTTTCAAAAATTATTGTTTATGATTTCCACTATAATTGAAATTTATACCATGTCCTTTCTCTTTTCCCTTTTTTTTTAAATTTTTTGTGATTTTTACGAATGTCTTTGTATGTTTTTACGTTTTTTACTTATTCATTAAATTATTTTGAAAAGATTTCTTGTGGACTAAAAGAAAGTTGTCAAAATGTTTCTCTTTAAATATATTTCAATACAATAATAGATATTTACTCGATTTATTTATCGAATATATGTGTATAATAAATCCTTTTTTTGGTTATATGCCGATTTTCAGATAAAGTATGATTATCAGTAATTATTTACGTTTTCATTCTAGTCAAATAGTGAAATATTCGAGATCTTCTTCAAACAAACAATTATCTGTTAGAAGTTCGATATTGAAACCAATTGAACTGGTACCTGAAAGAATTCATCGGCACTTATTCGGTGAAACATCAGTGAATTCATCAAACCTTAATGATATTTATGAAGATTTGGAATTACCTGAGCGAAGCGAAATCAATCTTGTGAAGCATTTTGAACAAATTGCAACAAACCAAATAGCAGAATATAAAAGGCAGTTAGATGAAGCGGCTGTTTTTCGAACCGTTCCCGATATGCCAAAACTGTGGTCATTTCAGAGTGGTTGGATTAAATATTTGCCAGACAGTGGTGAACCGATCAAGGTTTTTCATTTTTAATTTTAGAAATTTAAATCTAATCCAATTTTTAGTTTTTACTAGTTATTTTCAATATAAAATTTCCATAATAAGAGATTAAGAAAAAAATGAAAAAATGATATGGACGAGTAACAAATATTATAAATGTTTCTTTCGAGTGATGAAAGAAAGTGGAAATTCATTGCTGAACCAAAGAATTTGTTAAGTTGCATTAGATGTCCACATGTCTAATCTGCCCACATTAGATTTTTCTTTTATGGCCACAATTCACACAATTTTTAGTAAATACCCATAAATATTTAATGCTCCCTAATTGATCTTATTAGTAACCTTCAAACTCGTGAAATAAGATCGGAAAATTTTTATTCGAAAGCAGAATAAATTTCTTGAAAAACCGTACTTGCAGTTTTCTTTTAACACCTCGCCCCATTTCTGGTTCGTCTGGCTGCACTGGTTAATAGATGTTTCTTCCCGACTCGATATTATGCCTAAAATCAACTAAATCCACCTTTCTCGCTATCTATCTATTTATTGCTGAATCGTCAATGAGTTTTGTTGTCGAACGCGTCGATGAAGGTCTTGATTGGACCTTCTTGCTATAAGCGCCATACACCGCAATTCCTAAAATGGTCAGTGGTCGCATAGAAAGTTAATAAATATAAAGGGTAATGTAAATATGAAAATTAATAAATGTAATTGTAAATAAATAAATATAAAGGGACAGAAACGACCACTTCCAGTTGGTGTTCATTCGAATAATCTGAAGACTTCTTTCCATGTAGGCATAATACATTTGAATACTTGTTGCTCCATATCAGTTTGATTGACTGGTTTTTTTTGCACATGATGGAAGCATATAAAACCCAGTCGCATTCTTATCGAAAAAAATTTCCCTGTTAAGGAAAAAAGTGACCAGTTAGTCCTCACCATTTTAAGGCACATTACGCTTGGTTGGTAGGATTAGAAATTTTCGCCAAAGAGTCACTTGATCGACTAACACTACCCGGATTGTTTAATGCTAGCTTACTACTTTCGAGAATAAACGCCGAATCTTTGACTTTCAACTCAGAAATCTAAGCCATCATCCACTCGCTCTCCTGACACACTGAGGAAGCTAGTGTTAAATAAAGTTGCATGAAAGCTTGATATGTTTATCTTAATGTGTGAATTTGATTTAGATCGAATGTCCCGATGATGGGCCGTTATTTTTCGATGTTGAAGTTTGTTTACGTGATGGTCAATTACCAACGATGGCCGTTGCTCTTTCCAAAAATGCTTGGTTATTTTTTAGATGATAAAATTTGCTACGGTTTAAGGTATGCTATATCGCTTAGGCGGTAATCCGAAATAGTGTTTGGATGTGTCAAACCATTTTTCTCTGGCATATTTCTGCTAGTTTTAATGACATCGGCTCCACTGATCTATTTCTGTTAGCTTGACATTACTTCCTCGTAATTTGTGCTGCTAGTAAATGACTTCTAAAGTAAATGACTAGTAAATGACTTCTATTTGCATACCTGATAGAAAACGCAGTTCTCATTTAGAGGATCTTCTTTTCTTTCTCGTCTGATTTACCTATAAAGATTAAGGATTTATACAAATTCCTTCAAGATCGCACTTCGTATAGGAACTATAAATTGTAAATTGTTGATAAAGTCTAAAAAGAATGATATGGAACATATGTGCTAAGAATCTGATATACTAATATTGTTGCAGTCCTACTCATTGGCTCCTATGTATGATTTTTGATGTGGATTAGACCCAGTGAAGGATCAAATTTTTGCATTTTTTTCTCTTTCTCTTCCTTCAATTTTGTCCTCGCACTTTGATTTCACTTCATCTTTCATTTTCATTTATTTATTTTCTTGCATTTCCTTCTACCTTTAGCTTATAGTTTCTCTTGTAATATATGCCATTTGACGAAAATACCCATTTTTGCGAGAGGAATTTCTAAATGATGTGACACTTAATGTGTATTTAATATTTTATTTAATATTTAAGATAAAGAGTGAAAGGACATCCGTTAAATGGTCCTTATTTTATTTTCATTTCATTCAATTTTGCCATTGACTTGCTAGTCACTTCGGTTTTTTTTAATGTTCATTTCATAGGAAAAAAATTTTTTTTACAATAAGTATTTTTAGGTATTCCTGGTGCAGTAACCGCTTGATAAATGACTCGAAAATTCCCATTTTAAACCGATTCTCTCATTTGATTCCTTTGGAGTCGAGGGACAATAAAAAACCGAAAATTGTTATCGGGCATAATGTTGCTTATGACAGATCGAGAGTACGGGAACAGTATTATCGTAATGTAAGAAATTTTTTATTTGATTTAGAAATGATGTTTTATTCTGTTTACGGGCAAACTTTTGAAATTTTATATATTTATTTATTTATTATTTATATATTTATATATTTATATATATTTATTTATTTTGAAGACATTTATTTAAACAATAATAAATAATGGGGGATAGAATGGCTCAGTGGGTTGTTGCTCAATTGGGAGTGCCGATGCTGAGGCTCGATTCCTCGCAGGAGTAAACCTGTACGCAAAAATTCGGATGCTGGCGACTCACGTGTATTTCTGTCGCTAAGGAAGATATTCCTTCCTTCCTGGCATATTGCCCATTGCGACAATCCAATGGAGCGAGTTTAACCAGTAATGGTGAGGATTTTTAAAAAAAATTTATATAAGTGGTTGAAGTCGACCATTTTTGGTCCATATCTTGCTCCATATGAAACAAATGTTCTGTGCATCTGATATCTCATTAAAAAGTCCAGTTAATATCAGGAACCCACTTATATTTCTATACCAAAAAATTTTTTTTAAAATAGCGTGATCATTGCGCTAATCATTGATTTCTAAGTATTTGTTAATTTTTTATGTATAATTTTTAAAGTCTGCAAATACTCGATTTTGGGATACTATGTCAATGTCAATACCTATATATGGAATGGCTGACCATCAGGTTTCACTTTATGAGAAAAATGATTTAGAAAGTGGTGAAAAACTGGTAATTTTTTTCCTTTTGGATAATTATTTTTCTAAATAGTTTTAAAAAGACACAGATTCTACCACATCCAAACGGTTTTCATTTATTACTGGCTGAACGTTAAAATCTTAAAGGCTGCTTTCAAAACTTTCACAAATAGTTGGATGCTCAAATTTACAAAATTATTATAGTAAAAAGTTTATATCTTTGAAGCACAGCGCATGGGTCGACGATTGGAAGGCAAGGGTCTGTAAAAATTCTCTAAATGCGATACATGACAAGCTTTGCAATGGAAAAGACTCATCTTTGAACAAATCGCTGCAAATGTTTTTCCTCAGAGAACCAATTGAAGAAATCCGCAGAAATTTTCAAGTTTATTTTTTATTTTATTTTTCCCTTGCAGATTTCTTTCTTTTTTAGCTTATATTTTTCAAATTGTTTTGTATTAATATCGATTTTCATAAAATTTTATATTTTTTTGTGCTTTCCAAAAGATTTATGCGTGATATCGAAGCATTTAATGGCCTATTTAACGTCTATTTTCTTTTTTATTGCAAAGAAGTTTTAAATATGAATTTAATCTTTTTAATTGTTTAGGATCTAATGAAATATTGTGCGCGAGATGTTTTTGCAACTTTTCAAATCTATCAAGTTCTTTATCCAGAATTTGTGAAGAGGTGAAAATTTACATGTTCAGTAGAAAAATGATTTTATTTCGCACATGTATGAACTGTTCACTTTTATTGGCTTCACATTAAATCCATTTTTTTTAGATTTCCTCATCCAGCTACGTGGCAAGGAATGTTAGAAATTGCAAGTGTATACTTGCCAGTCACTTCAAATTGGCGGAAATTTTATGAAATTTGTGAAAAACGCACTACTGATGAAAATAAGAATGCTGTGCAAGGTGTTATTAATATTATGAATGCACTTGTCGATGATTTTGGCAAAAATAATCGGTTGCTTATTTCTGCAATTCGCTTTTTATTCTTTAATGCTTCGTTTATAGATACATACTAAGTTCATTTTTATTTCAATTCATTTTCAAAGGATTAGCTGTAATTTAATTTAGATTTAGCTAATTTTATTTTCTATTCGAGTTCTTTTTTTCTCGAATTTCTCTTAAATTGTTTAATTTCCACTTCATAATATTAGAAGTAAATTTTAAATTTTAACAGATATAAAGATGATCCTTGGCTTTGGCAAGAAAATTGGGATTTGCATAAAGATACAATTCCAGTGTTAGTTTATTTTTTATTTTAATCCGTTAAATCCTTTCACTTGAAATTCACGTTCTATTCCTTATCTTCTTTTCTTGTAATGATAATTATTTAATGTCCGATTTTTTGGATAATTTTTCAGTTGGTGCAAAAACATGCTATTGAAAACAGACATTCCCAAATTAACAGCTGAAACTATTTCATCATCAGATGTGAAATTGAAAAGTCGATCGATTCCTCGTATCTTTGGACTTTGTTGGGGTCCATATCCTCTTCATTTCAAAATAGATCTTGGTTGGGGTTTCCTTGTGCCAAAAGGTTTCTTTACCTTATTTTTATAGCTGCTTAAATTATTTTATATGATTTTATTTCGATATATTTTGAGAAATAAAATATAAAAATAAAATATATTTTTGAAATGTGTAAAATAAAGTTTTGATTTTGATATAGCCTATAATGGAGGCAAACTCGATGCTCTTACGAGGGTTTCATTAAGACGAGGTGTTGAGATAGATGTACCAAATAAGTAAATACTTTTTTTTCTATTTTTTTCTTGATATTCTATTTCCGATTCATTTTTCCGTTTTTATATCATTAAAAAATATTTCTGTATTCAAAAGTTTTACATTTTAGGGCGATCCTGGATCTCATTAATGCAAATATATCTCAAGGCATTGGTGATGTTATCCTTAACAAACCTGCTTCATCCGTTGGTGTTTTTGATTTCTATCGACTACCACATCCAGTAAATTTTTATTTTATATTTATATTCAGAAATTCAGAATTGCTTCATTCGCCTATCGGCATTATCATCGAGCAATGCTCTTATGAATTAGCAACTATTCTTAGTGCCACTTTTCAAAATGTTCAATCATCAGTCGATAATTTGAAAATTAGATTTGAAGAATAAAGCTTTAAATCCAAGGTTAAGAAAAACTTTTTAGACAGGTGGTGATACTAATGTTGGTGATCCATTGAGCAAGGGATTTTACAGAAATATCGAAGAAGGAATATTATATCCAACTCGATTTAAAGATGAATTCCATGCCTTGCTTAATGCTAAAAAAATGACTCGCTTTTGGGGAAATTACAGGTTGCAGTTTCTTAAGTACTTATAGTCTGTGAGATGGTATTTCAAATTGTCAGTGAAAATTTCAGGGCGAGATTTGAAGAACAAGTAACAATTTGGTATGATGAAGGCGGTACTGAGGGAGCTATTGCGCCATCTATAATACCAGCTGGTACAATTACGCGGCGAGCTGTTCATAAACTTTGGCTAACCGCTATTAATGCCAAAGTTCATTTTTTTCAAGATTAGTTTTTTGGAAAAACCGTTTACTTCATCATTCGTGTAATATCTCAGAATTCTTCAGGATGATACAACAGTAATTGGTGCTGACTTGAAGTCGGTGGTTGAATGTCCTGAGGGATGGTACATGGTTGGTGCAGATGTTGATTCACAGGAGCAATGGATTGCTGCATTATTTGGTGATACTGCAGTCGGTGAGCACACTGCAGGTTGCACTCCTTTCAGTAATATGCTATTAGCTGGGAGCAAAGCTGATAAGAGTGATCTACACAGTGTTGTAGCTAAAGAAGTTGGAATAAGCAGAGATAAAGCAAAGGTAGGTTATTACTGCTTCTTTAAAAATTACTTTATCGTCTTTTAATTAAAAATTTTAATTTTTTTAATAAATTCATTATTACTTATTAATTATTATTATTATCATTCTACTTATCATTCCACTCCTCAATAATTTTGTTTCCAGATATTAAATTATGCTCGTCTATACGGATCAAGTATAAATCATGCTGTGGATTTTTTAAAACAATCTGGTATAGATGAACGCCAGGCTGAAAGCATGGCTCGGAAATTATTCGCAACTACAAAAGGGAGCCAGAAATAGTATCGTTCATTTTGTATCCTTTACTCCATTGGTTTTTTAGATCCTTGTTCCATATTCATTTATTTTTTTGTTCTTTGAAGGTTATCGTTTTTCATATATATATTGTTATTTTTAATTTGCAACACTATGTTTGAATTTATCAATACCCCATTCGACCTTATAGTTATCTTCAACTTTCTCCTTCATTGAACGACAATTTTCGTTGGTTCATCGACAATATTTGTCCTAATGAATATCGAAGTGATTTTATTCAGTTAAATGGTCAGTATTTCCTTCCTGATTATCGGACTGAAACTAGGTTTGTTGATACTTTTGGATATATCCGATTAAAATTAATTGGTTATTGTTGAAAAGAAATGTTTCATAATTAAGTAATAATTAATAATTAAATTATTAAATTATTTTCTAGTTCACTCACAGTTACGTTCGAAAAATGGATTTTGAGCGAAATTCAAAAAAATATCTCAGAAGAATTGAATATACCAGTTTTCTTAAAGCAGATGTACCTTGATGATGGTCGCCCACTTCAGTTGTATTTCGGTGGATTGTACGTTGTTTATCGATATATTTGTAATTTTTTTATCAATTCATCATTGAGAATTGAGTCTTTGGTATCTATAACTGCTTATGGAGTTTATTTATATTTATTTGTTATTTGCAGTGAATCGGAGACTTTCAACTATTTGGAGATGGTTATAAAAGAGGAAAAGCCACGCACTCCAATCTTAGGTTGTCGATTAGGATTTGCACTGCAACCATTATCAAAATCTGTCCCCGATCAAGAACATTTCATAAGAAAATATAAACGATCTATTATCAACTGGGTATCGCTTTAATCGCATTTTCCTTTTTTTTTTGTTTTTCGATTTAATCTTTGTATTTTTTTCCGAGCTTTTTCGAAAATTAAAGGTTGTGCAATCGAGTGCTGTGGATTTCTTGCATCTCTTATTGGTCTGTATGAAATGGTTGTGTGAGAAATATGAAATAAATGCAAGATTCGCTCTCTCTATTCATGATGAGGTCTCTTTCTACACGTTTAATTATTTAATTGTGGATAGCAATTTAATCTTTCTTGATAAAAATTAAAATAGAAATTCAGATTAGATATATTGTTTCTGCGGAGGATCGTTATCGATGTGCCCTTGCACTTTCATTAAGTAATATGTATGTGCGAGCAATGATTTCTCAAAAACTCGGCATCAATCAATTACCAATGGTAAATTTTTATTTTCTTGAATATTATTGAACTAAGACTCTTTATTCCATTCTTTTGTTTCATTTTAGAGAGACTTTTTAAAAATTCCATATTAAAAATATAGAAATAAAAACTGAGATGTTTTTTTCTTAGTAATTTAATATTTTTGAATTGATCGCTAAAAGTCTAAAATGCAAAATTTGCTTTTCAGTCAGTCGCATTCTTCAGTCAAGTGGATATTGATAAAATATTAAGAAAAGAAGTAAAATTTATCTATAATATGCCTGGTGGAAAACAAGTTTTACCGGGTAAGAAAGTTTTCCAAAAATTCAACATGAGCGTGAACCTTTAGTTCACTATCAGTCTTCATTCTCAATTATTTTGCTTATCTTGATAAATCTTTTTTATTTAAAATATTCCGGATTTGAGATTTCCATTGTCGACATTGTTAATATTTTCTTGGTTCATTTTGGCTCAATCTGGCTCACTTTTTTCGTTGACCTATAAGTGTATTTATGCAGAAATAAATGAAGTTTTTAAGGCGAAGCACTCACAATGAGGGAAATAATCGAAAAAACAAATGGATCTCTGCGGAAACAAACTTTATAAATTGTAAAATTGTAACTTTATAAATACATATGTTTTGCTTTATATATCGTTGTTGTTCTGTATTGTTATTATGCATATTGATATGACATATGATTATATGATATGATATGGTTTATAATAAAATCAAATGAAAAATCGGCTTCAAACTTTAGGATTTTTACAATGTTTTAAAATTAAAAGCATCGTGAAGAAATTGCCTTATAAATTTAAATATCTTGATATTACTATTCAGGCGAGAGTTGGATTTTTGAGTTGAGTAGGGAAATTTTTTTTTTCCATCAAGGCTATTCGTACGAACCACGAGGACCACTAATTTTCATTGTTTATTAAATGTTCGTCTTTCCATGTCTAATTTTGTCTTAAGTTGGTGTGGTGAGTTTTTAAATTATTTCAACAATATTTTATAAAAATTCCGAAAAAAGATGACAGCAAACAAACGGCTTTAATTAATATCGGACTCATTTCTGTGAATCTAAAAATTATATCTGTGAAAAACACAGTAGAAGAAAATACCAGTTAAAAAGTTTGACGATTTGGTTCGCATTCTTGAGATAGAAAATTTCGGCGATATCCAACAACAGCTAATTACGCTAATTGGGGAATATATAATTTGGAAATAAAGTGGGTCCGTTTGATGATATATGTAGTTTCAAGAATGGATCCATTTGATGATACACGCAACCTACAAAAAAAATAATAGAAAATTATAGGAAAATTCTCACAACAATTTCGCGTAAATCAGCCATTTCCATTCATCGGCGTTTTTGTCATCGCCATTGTTTGATTTGTCCACAGTTGGATAAAGCGAAAAATCGAAGAGATCGAAGAGTATTTTTAAGAATATAACATTTTTCAGGCAAATATTTCACAAATATTTTATCGAGGAACGCTGCTGTGATTTTACTTATTGTTTTCTAATTGTTTTCGAAAAAAAACATTCGAAAAAATATATAAAATTTATTAAAATTGTTTATGTTAAATTTCAACCTATGCATTTTTTCTCAGGCTTATCAATTATCTTTATATCTTCTATTTTCACCCAGGAAATCCAGGGCGTTATCAATATTAATGATTTCAATTTCGTGGCTTGAATGCCATTATCGTCTTGCACGTTCTGCTATTGCATAATCCCTTATTGTCGTATCGTGTTATCAAAGAATGAACAAACTTACGGTATGTCCCTGGTGGTTTCTCTTCCTTGGAATTCACGTATATTCCTTTGGGTTATTATGCTTCGTTCTTCATTATTGGTTGGTTATCACTATCATGTGATTTTTCGATTCTAATTCATTTCTTTCGATAAGGCGCTATCCTTCACTACACTAACAAGTAATAAACCGCCTCAAATAATTATTGGCAAATTATTTACCACTGAAGATTAGAGAAAGTCAAATTGGGATTAACACGGGCGGATTTGCCGCACGGTATAATTCTTTTCATGCGATTAATCGTTTTCGATATGTTTTGCGAGTGCACTCACTAGAAAGATGCAAATTAATTGCAGAAATTTCCTTTAAGAAAAAACTTCCATCAAATTACTAATACATTCGTTTTATTTCACATGGATTTGCAGGACAAATGCTTTCATGGTTCGCCGCCTCTCATTATTGCAGCGATTCGTCGCTATACTTTCCTTATTAGTTGTCTATTAGAGAATAAAATGCGCAATGCGCAGTCGTGGTGAGTGAAGTGATTTTTAAAATCCCTAACAATATTCCATGCGAATTTTCATCGGAAGTTGAAATCTTTTACGAGACAATTAATTCGGTGAACGAAAACAACATTGGATAGAAAATATGAAAGAAATGATAGAACAGAAAAGCCGATACCGCGCAATGTCGAAATTATTCGCCGTCGTTCTCAGCGCATTCGTCCGCTTTTCTTGGTTTAGCCTTCGATAAATTGAGATTTACGGTTTCTTTCGATGTGGCAGACGACGCAAAGGATGGGACAGATGGGGAGCCGGAAAGCGAAAAACATCCCATCTTTTGTCGATTTAAGAGCGAAAACGAACTTGGCGCAAAATTCGACTTCGCTTTCGGATTTCACAGCAGAACGAAAAGCCAAAGAAAGACGTGAAAACGTTTCTGATTATTGGAACACTTGTTAGGTGTCATTTAGAATAATGTAAATTATAAATTATAATTTTGATACTTCAAAAAAACGAACTCGAATCTTAGCGGTTTTTTGAAACAAGGGAGAGATGGAGCTAAAACAACAATCGTAGTCAATTCGTCCCAATAATTTATATTGCGAATAAAAAAAAGACTGCAGAAAAATAGCGAGTGGGTGCAGAGATGTCTTCCTTTGCCTGGCGAAACGTCTCTCTGCGACGGCCGCGTTCCTCAAAACAAAAGTTCTATCTGGCTGTGGTGTGCAACCGCGACACTCAGCCAGTGAGAGTATCCGACCGTTCTTCGCCACCCACAGAAGCTACTGATGCACTTCTAGCTATTCGCTAAACCCTTTTATGGATGAATTTCATCAAAATCGAAAAAGGCTAAGCAAGATCTGGATCGAAAGAAATGGGTTTAGACAGCATAGGCGGCCCAGCGATAAACGACCCTAGACGGAAAAAGAAGTGGCTTCAGTTATTTTCAAGAATGGCATCAGATTTGGACGTTTGGAAACGTCTTGGCCTAGTGGTTAATGCGACGAGCAGCAATGTGGGAACTATTAGAGGAAGAAAATGGGATTGCGATCTGGCTTAAATATCCTCGCCACGTGCTTCCATTTTATTAGTTTGCCCCCTTGCCTCCGGAAATTCCCTCCAGAAATATTTGCTTGGCTCTCTAAACTAGTCACCAAATCCTATAAATTCAATGACATGAGAGAACAGACATCATCTGTCAAAATTTAAAAGCATAAAAGATCATTTTATTGGAAAATAACGCGATAGCACATTTGCAAAGCCGACGAAAAAAGATTTTTCTGCAGCAACAAAACACGAAAATGCACAGTTTGTACAATGGCGCATTTGCACAGTGGGATATATAGAAATATGCACACGCATCGGCTAAAAGCCTACACTGCACCGCACCTACTGAAATCGAATTAGTCTGCCGGCCCATTTGCTAAAATATTTTTCTCATCAAATGGATTAGTGCAGAACGATTCGATTTCCACGGTTCTTCGCCCTTCCCTTCCCATATGTTTGATTCAACTATAAAAATTATCTTCCAAGATTATTTCCGCATGTTTAGGATGACTTCGATGGAAAAAGGCTCGAATATCACAGAAAGTGAAATAGACGAGTGGATATGGATGCAATCCCCTTAGCCTTAATCCCCGTGCACCATTGACCATTTTGATTCCTTACTATGCATTGCATTGAAATTACAAAAACAATTCGAGCGAAGAAAAAATAATCAGAACGCATCAATGATAAGCCGAAAGATCACATAGAATTACAATATAAACGAATTAATGAAAATTCGAAATTTTTTTCATTCCTCAGGTCTTTTCTGCACTCCATCTTATAGGATTTTCTCCATAGTTGCAAGTGTCAAACCCAGGCAAATTGTCATCGTCACTGGGCGACATTTACCAGGAATATAAAAATTAAAAACGAAATAAAATATAAAAATTATTAGTTTAAAGCAATCTCTGGTCTCTTGTCGTCCTCTTCGTCTTTGCAAATTTCTATATTTTATACATTTTTATTTTTGAATATTTCTATATATATTTGTTGTATTCTTGCGATTTACGTATCAATTCCTTTTTTTAGACGCTTTTTAATCATGTTTGACCAGATTTTTTGCCGATAAATAGGCAAGCATAGAAAATTTGCGATCATTGAACAAAACTAACGCAGAGAAAAGTAAAAAATAAATCAACAAGAAATAGAGTAATAATATTGAGTAATAATAATACAATATTTAATGAAGTATAATCCAGAAATGTACTATGAAAGAATGATTTCGAAATACTTAAATTTCCAAACATACCTTAATCAAATTTTTTAAAGTACATTTAATCAAGTAAAACATAACGAATATAAAAGATAAATAAAGAAGAGAAGACAACAAATTTTATTAATGAAAAATTTTATTAATGGGCAAATCTTACAACGTATATAATTGCGCTTTGGATGGGGAAATTTCACATTATTCTGAATTATGGAAGACAAAGAAAATCTGAGAAAAGTGCCAGAATTATTATCGTAACTACACCCTAATTGAACGGATAAAAAAATTACAAAATTATAGGCCAAAATTATCATTAAAAAAACAAATAAAAAAAAGTTCCTAGTGGTAAAACAAAAAGCATTATCAGATTTTTTATAAAGACTTAACAGTATAGTTTAATTTGTATGCTGCACAGGATATGAAAATTTTGACAGGTTAAATAAATATTTTCGTGAAATAATCGCCTCTATTGAGCAATTACACTAAAAAGTTTTCCGATGTATTATTTTCTTCCCTTCATCTTCATATTCTTTTTTACTAACCCACAGCTTTTTGAAAGTATCCAAACTTGCTAAAATTGATCCGCCAATCCAAGTTCCAAATAAGCGCTCTTGTGGAGCAGAGATTCGAATCTTTATATCCTTTGGAGCAAGCTTTCTTGTCTGAAAAAGCTTTTTTCTCACAATTGTTTCTTATACTTTAGCTCTTTTTTAAGGAACAAACTTGAAAATTACAAAATATTTCAAGAAATTCTTTACGCACATCAGCAAGTAAGCGATCACCAAAACCAGCAAACATAGTTGAACCACCACTCAAAACAATATTGCTATATAAAGTCTTTCGCAAATCCATATCGCACCTCTGGAAAAAAAACACTAGAGAAAAATACAATCACAAATAAGGGCCAAATCCCCACAAAAAATGATGAAATTGCTGAAGTATAATCGAATTCTTCAGACTAAAGTCGCGATTCCTGTCCTATATTGAGAGAATATCAGTCATTAAAAATAAAATAAAATAAACATTAAAAATAAAATCTAGATAGTGCCGGATTTCATTAGTAATTCTTTGGTGATGAGGTTTTAATCCAATAACCAGAGAATGAAAAATCTAGAAATGGTTAAAAGGAAAAAAATAAAATTCTTAATAAAATGAAATGATACCCTTATTGATAGATCAAGTGCAGTTGCAATTCCCGGCCATTCTTCACCGATAATTTCGGGTCGGAAGAGAATTTCAGCAGCACGGAATCTAGCAGAACCAATTTCCAAATTTGAACCATCCGGCAATTTATAAGCTATCTATAATATAATATAAACATAGAATAAAACTGCATAATCCTCGTAGAGACTGTAAATAAAACAATTGAATACTTCATTGCAAAGAAAATCAAAAAATAAAACTGAAATTACCAAGAATAAAGTAAAAACGGAAAAGAGATAGCAAAATGCAACCTTTTCGCTTTCCGTGCCCTCATCTTTCATTACATTACAAGTGACGTAGCACATCTTCTCCTTAATTTCACGCACAATTTCAAATTCGGAAGAACGGTGAAAATCACTACCTTCTTTGCGTAAAAGAAGACGTAAATAACGCGTAACATCTCGACCAGCTATATCCATGCGTTCGATACTAAATTTTTTTTGGAACAAAATATAACATCGAAAATTGGCGAAATCCTTATAAAGAAAAATAATCAGCGTAATAAATGATTAGAATACAAATTCTCTAGAAATCGAATATTCTTACCCATGCTGTATGGCAAATCCTTCAAAAATAGGAACAATATGAGTGACTCCATCACCCGAATCTATCACAACACCAGTGGTACGACCCGTAGAATATAATGATAAAACTGCTTGCATTTGTATATGTAGCGCAGGAACGTTAAATGTTTCGAAAAAAATTTCAGCGGATTTTTCTCGATTTTTCAACGGATTTAACGGAGCCTCAGTTAAAAGGACAGGATGTTCCTCCGGAAATATCTGAATATCCATTAATTATTTACCATAATCAAGCGATTAATGCAATTGATAAAAAATAAAATCCTTCGATAAATGGATACTTGCAATTGATCTTTGCTGTAAATATACTGCCACACTCGTTCCATATCATTCCAATCGGTAACAATTCCATGTTCCATAGGATATTTTAACGAAAGTAAACCTCGGTACTCTTCTGCCTTTGGCCCTTTGAATGGGAAAATTTAAAGAAAAGAAAAAGAAAAAAATGGTACGTCTCGTCGGTACTCGGAATAATTTTTGGTAGCCACTGTTGCAAGGAAAATGCTGAGACTTTCGAAAAATTCAAATTCCATTTCTCATGCTGGCAAAACCTATTTTCTCACCTATTTTCTACAGAATATTATATTTTCAATGCAACAGTACAAATTAATCATTCTAAGGAAATCTTAGTCATCTTGAAACAGAATCTTATAAAGAAAAAAATCTCCATCGCACTAAAAATATGAAACCTTTATTAAAATATTCCAGATAACCGGAAAACATCAAATAAAAATTAGGACTACTTTCGCACTACTGATAAAATAATTTGAAAAAAAAGAAAAAGGGAAATAAGGATTACCAATGAAAATATCTCCTTCAAGTGCACCAGCCATAACTCGAACATGTTTTGGACGTCCAACAAAATTAGCGAAGCGACATTTCGGCGTTTGATCACCAGCAAAACCAGCTTTGATGACTCCCGAACCGTTATCAATAACTACTGGTTGATTAGCTATTACATCATAAGCGTCCATCTCTAAATTTCTTCTAATCTTTCATAAAAATTAGTTCAATTTCGAAAATGCAGATCTGACTGATTATACTAACAATAACAATAATAAAAGAGATACAACGCAATGATTATTATTAGGATTACTGAAATGCAAGAAATGAAAAGTCCAATCGCCGCTGCCAAATTTCGAAAGTTTTGAAATTTATAAATAAAAATCAAATCAAATTGTGAGAAAAAAAATAAGAAAAGAATGAATTCAACGAATAAATTCAAAATAAAAACCAGAAAAATATGAAAAAGAAGAGCTCGAAAAAGAAGAGTTCCATCAGACCCACTCTTTCCGAGGACTTTTTCAGTCAGCTGAATTTAAAGCATAATTAACTACTTAACCAACGCAAACGACTCCCACCCCCCTCCCCATCCCCCACATTCTTTCCCCCTCATTCCATGCTTTACACCAAGCCAAATCAGAAAGTGCTAAATCAACCATCTCGAATGCATGCAATACCGCAGAGAAATATTTTACAGCCCCAGCCCTATCGTCCTACTTTTATGGTCCTCATTTACTGAGCATTCTTCACAGAAAATGTCGAATGTGATGTGGATTTATTTATGCCATTTCTAAGCATAATTATCCGTCATCCATATCAAATAGATATTTATTAAAATAGACTACCAAAATAGATATTTACCTAGTTGTATATATACTATTTCTGGTTCCGATATCCCACTGACTATAGGAGGAGATTGCTTTGCGGAGGACCCTCTCGGAAGCAAAAGTGTAGGTGGGTCCGTAGCATTAAAGACAATAAAAAGAACAATAAAAGAATAACGAATAATACAAATTAGAATTGAATCTGAAACGATGAAATAAGGCTATTAAAACAAGAAAACAAGATTACTCATAAATTAATTTTGCAAATTTATAAAATAAAATGTAACTAAGACCAGTTAATCACCAAGTCTATTTATTGTATTTCATATTTTTATTCAAATTTAATTTCTTTTATCATAGCGAATTTTAAAGCGAGATCATTGGCTGATCAAATCGTTTTCGTTAATATATTGATTATTCGGTTGATAACAGATAGAGTGGAGGAGGATATTATGAAGCTATCTGCCTTTGATCAGTCGTATCTAAGATATATTTGACAGGTTTATCGAGCGGATAAAATCGCACATGATCGCATCCACCTCCGCTCAAATACCACTTCTATTATTAATATTATCGTCAGAGAGTGTTAGGGCACTTTGTTCATCGTCCACCACAAAAGTTGGCATATATTTCGTTACTTTTTGTTATTTGCTAAACCCTACGATGGCTGATCTCAAAATTGAGTAACGCCTACTGTGATCTGAACTGGTACGATCAGGAAAGATTTTGAACGTATAGGGGAACCAGTGATATATGGATTTAGACGATGGAAAAAGGAATGACTTCTATTACTGTCGGCTGTCGACGATGGCATCAGACTAAACAGCTTGGAAACGTCTTACCCTTTTAGCCAGTGGAGCAACCATAACCAGTAATGGTGAGAACTATTAGAAGAATAGTTAAAACTATTTCACTAATAATGCTGGTAATCCTATAATTTGATAATAATAGTTTTTCGTAGATATGAGATATGAAAAGATATGAAAAGTCTATTATCATGAAGGTGCAAAAATAAAATCCATGATATTTGACTGCTAATGAGAACGCAGTCATATACTAAAACCATCTCTTTTCTCTCACTATACTGGTTAAGCTAGTAAGCCACTGGTTCCAAGCGGTTCGATCCCATGGCATACTTTATACTAATAAAAGCATTCCTTTTAGCATTTTCGTTTAAGTACATACGTCGCAGGCCTATCTTTCAAAATCTTTCTAGACTGTATCAACACGGACCTCTGTCGACGTAAGCTGGTATCTAATGTAATGAATTGCATTTTGCATTAATTTTTTTAATGATCGCAAAAAGAAATTTTTTTGGACCTATCATCGACGGTGAATTATTGCGATGGAGAAATACCTATTTTAAATCCCGTTTTAGGCTTAGAAACCATGAAAAAAATTGAAATTTTTGTCAGTTTGTTTCTTATAGTTTCCAGGAATAAACAAATATTTTATTACAATTAAAAACAATTCGTCGTTTTCCCTTCGAAAATATTTGAAATAAAAATATGAGCATATAAATTGCGAAAAAATGAATTTTAATGGGTAGAAAAATTTTCACTAGCTAATTATATTACGAAAAAATTAATCGAAAATTCGGAGTTCAGTTGGCTCGACTCGAACTACACTCGTCTTATACTTGATATCAGGTTCCGCTCCTTCTATTTCGTAATCCATTACAGCAAGCTCAGCTTCATGTTCTTTTAGTCCAGAGGCATTCAATTTTAGTAATGCGATATGTTCTGCCTAAATTCACTCTTTTCCGTAAATATTTTTTTTCAATTTTCCTCTTCATAATTGTGATCAGTTCTGTTTGCAGTGGACTTATTTTTGTTTTCTGACAAATTTTAAAAAATTTTAAAAAAATTTTCATAATAATCAAATTTTTCATAAAAATTTTAGGAGTACCAAATTTCGAAATATTACATAGCCAAAGAAGTAAGCAACCTTTTAGTCTTAGCGAAGAAGGCCACTTATTGAACCGAAATGCTGAAAAAAAGAAAAAAATAACTTACGGCGAAATATCCAATAACTGAGCCTACAATCACTCCAACAACAACATCTGACCAATGGTGTTGCGCATCAAGAATACGCGAATACGCTATATATGACCCACCACAAAGCAAAACAGTTTGCAAAAGAGCACGAATAACAATTATGTGATTCTTACGAGGTATTCTGCATTGTAGATAGATCTAAAAAAATCAGAACTCTAACTTGATCTTAAATCATTTCGAGTAGTGCTTTGGTGACAGGGAGCAGTTCTACTTAGTTCTATTTCCGAGAAATTGTCCATTAAAAATTCGTAATCTTACTAACAACTAGTGGAACGAGCTTGACCAGAAATGATTCTGTATGTCAAAGAATAATATCGAATTGCATGCTATCAGCCAAGCCTCTTTTTCAACTTTATATTTTTTATATGTTCTATATTAATGAAAAAAGAATACTACCACAAAAAATATGACAAATGCAGATATAAATGAAGCATGTCCACTATAAAAAGACATTCGAGCATCCATTACTTCATCTTCTGCCGGATTTTCGCAAGTATATTCTTTCACGAACGTATGATTCTTGCACCTTGAAAAATCAGCTCCACTTATAATTGGTCGACAAACGGCAATGAAATTAGGTCTCAAACGTCCAGCCACAAATTTCATCGTTTTTACGGAACTATATGCCATTAGGATTAGAAGTAAGTGGTAAGCTGAAATTTTGCAAAATTTCATTCCCTTATATTAGGTCTAATTATATAGCTGGGCATGAACGATTAGAATAGGTTCGCTCTTAGTGAAATTGAGTCATATTTTTTAAAACTAAAAATGGATAACAGAATTACTGGGCGGCTGGATAATCACTGTGGTCCATACTTATTATATTCTTTAGCTTAGAAAAGGAAAATTTAGATTTTAGAGAACCATAGAAAAAAATAAAAGAAAAATAACCGAACTGTAATATTTGAAAAAATTAACGAAGATTTGATTTATATTATAACCTTTCCAACAATAATATTCTTTACGAAACGATGAACGATAAAATTCAACCAAAAATATCTGAAATATCTTTTTCAGAGTTTTTCTAAAGATAAATTATAAACAAGCAATAATTACTTTGAATTTTTAATGTTTCATTTTCGCTAAAGAAATTATTTGCGAATATTATAAGGCAAATCAAATGAGAATAGTTTTATCAATTTTTTACCATCGATCTCTGATTTATTTCTTGTTTTGATGTTCTGACGTTTCTAGTTCGGTTAGTTCATTGATTATTTCGGTATGGTTCCATAAAGTTACATAAAGTTTGGAAGTCGCAGCACTACCAGAATTTTATTTTTAGTAGGTTCACCCTCTCCAAAGAAACAATTTGAGTAAATTTAAATGAGATAAAATAAAAACTCACCATAATAAGTGGCGTCACGAGCAGAAATGTAAACAGCATACGTGCTGTTATAGTATTTTCATGATACGGATATCGAATAGATTCATCATCACAGTAAAAACCCCGTTGGTATGGCTTGAAATAATAAGCCGGAAGAAATTTTACAACCAGGCCTATGAAAATTTTACAACAGAGAAAGGTATCAAATATGTCCAGAAAAGCTAGGAAAATATAAATTATTTGCTCATATTATTTGCAAGAAATTATTATATGCAAGAAACTGGTTTTTTAAAAAAAATCCTTCTGACCAAAATCATTTTTTAACAAAATGATAACCGATCCTTCATTTTTTTCAAAGCATGCAATATTTTTGATTTGGTTAGTCCGAATGTTTTAGCGTGAGACCTTTTTATCAGAAAACCACTTGGTAACAGTGACCTAGCACCATCCAGATTTCATCTCTAATGGCATTTTTGCTCCTGTATAGGAATCAATTCTTAATTTTTGTTGAGGGAAGATATTATTCGATTATTCTATCATAGATGCTGCTAGATGAATTTACAGTTGCAAATATCAGAATTTTGGTTAAACGAACTAGAATCCATAAAATAGATCTAAATTGATTAATTAATTGATTTAAAAGCAGAGCCATGTGGTTGCATTAACAAAGGGGTGTCAAAAGGAAATCGGTGATATCGATACAAGAACATAGAAAAAGCAATGTGGCTGTGACCAAAAACCAACAATATAATGGGAAATTACAGAACAACACATCGAACTCATTGTATTACTACCGTTACTGACACACAATCGCATAATCGCATGTTGAAATAAAGTTCAAACTTTTTACTTCATATGAAGTTTTTAAGTAATAGCATATATATTCAGAATTATGTTTCAAAATTTTGTTCAGAAAAACAAAAGATGTTCAGAATTCAGAAAAACTAGAAAAAATCTTTATTTCAAAGTGGTTAAGGATGATTACAAATTACGTATTTCGACAACTAATTCCAGTAATTAATGGTGCGAATGAAAAAATCATTTTCTTAGTTTCGCATGTTCTTCGTTTAGCTTTTAATGATTTTAGCACATCAGATTTAATTACAGAAAAGTTAAATCAGCAAGAAAAATGAGAAAACGAACGAATTCGAATGAAAAGAGCTCATCATTTAAAAAAAATTTTAAAATATTTCAATCATTCTTGTATGTTTTTTTGATAATATTTTGGAAGTTTTATTTCAATAGAAGTTGATTTTAAATAAAATTCATTTGAATAGTCAATAATAAAATAATTTCGTTCAAAATTTGATAAGAATACTTACCCGCAATAATTCCTATGAATAAATTGAATAAATACGATCCGACTGAGAGTTCTTTAGTTGTAGGACAATTGATCACGCCATCCATATTTCACTATAATATTTTAACACTTTTTTCTTTAAAAGATCCTTATCAACTGAACTAGAAATAAGAACCAGCAGCAGGATATGCGAGTAGAAAATAATTCAGATTATGGAGCTGGAAGGCAAGAATCGATTCTCGCCCCGATAGGAATAAATGCCATTAAAAAATCGAAGTGGTCCACCTATATTCATCACCTAGTGGCTCCTTAGAAATCATTTCTAACTACTAGTCGAACTTCAACCAATTGTCTAAATATTATTATAATAAGGTTTAAATATATATATTAAAAAATTTGAAAATTTGAATTTGAAAATTTCAATATTTCTCACTGGATTTTTGAATAAAGATATATCGTCTATAACAATGAAAAAATCTGGAATAAAAAATAAAATATTGTTTTGAAGTTATTTAATGAAAATTGTAATATTTATATCCCTGGATAATTTACTATGATATTAAAATGTAACATTAAAAGCTAATATTCAGTTTTCACTATTGAAATGGTTGTCATTGTGATACAGTCCACCAGTAATTCAGTCAATATTTGAAATAAATGCTTATATAGAAAATAGTAGAGAATGTTGAAAAATTGACGAGAAATTGACGCAATCGTCGCCAACATATGATCGAATCATTTAGAACCTGTTCCATTTCCAAAAATATGAAATTTTTGCTGGTGTAATTCGGTATCGTTTGATAATAACAAGGAAAATCAAAGATCTCTAATTCATCTTCAGCCCAATTTTTGCTTGCAGTGGACATAGCCGAGGTCGGTATTAAGCGCTGTATCATTATCATATAATTGAGCTAAGCTTAGTGACAGTGACGTTTAATCGCAGATATTTTTTATCTTATGGACCCAATCTCATGCTGCTAAGTTCTCAACTGCAGAAAATTCAATCTCTCCTTAAAACTTTTCTGCTTAACATATGCATACTTTAATGAAGTGCAAAAAAAAAGTTTGCTGCGAAGTAAAGCAATTAAAAGTATGGCTTCATAAAATAATGCATAGCTCTAGCTTCTTAAATAAATATATTTAAATATTTGAAATTCTGTGATTATTTAAGAAATTCTGATCAAAATTGACCATCCAGTGATGATTTATAAAATTCTTTTTCTAAATTTAGTATATCCAAATGGCCTGAATTTTCTTCGGTTCACAAAATGAAACGAATCGCTTTCTAATATTTTAACTTTTTTTTATAAATCTTGAACAGGAAAAAAATTTTGAAATTTCCGCCATTTCGATTCCACGTTTCAAAGATAAGGATGGGATTTTGAATTTATCAGGAAATTTTTGTAAAAACTCGAAATATTTAAATGCTTATAATAAAATAATAATTTTATTTAAAAAGATACTATTTACTATGAATAACATTTTAATGATATTATATATAGTGAAATAAATTTAGATAACCTTCTAAATGATTAATGACAATCGAAATATTTTTTTTCAACTGCCTAAAAATACTTTCAAATCAAGTTTTTAAAATATTTTATAAATTCATTGTAATCGTATCGAATTTAGACTGTAAAATTGTGATTTCGCTGGTAATCCAGAGATTTTACCTATTTGCTATTTGCTGACACCTACTGCATAGCTCCTAATTTTGCCTTATAAGCATTTAAAGGCAAAATTTGACAAATCACTGAAAGATGACGTTTGTTGATTAGAACCAATATCATCTTGTACTTGACTGATTATTTTGTAATTGCTTATTAATGATGCCAGCTTCGATATCGGTTGGTTTCTTTGCAGGAATAAGAATCCTTGTTGAATTCCGCTCGTTAGGGACGTAATTTTTAACACCACAAAATATTGGTACGCTTTCATCAGCTGTGCCATTGTGAGCAAAAAGTTTCGCAATATGAAAAGCCTTAATATTGAATAATTAACGACGAACAGAGTAGAAAAACTCTGGTGAAAAAAAAAAGGTTTTAAAAACGTAAAAGAAAAGCTGAAAGCTTTATTTCTTTGGTCCTATGCCTTATCATTTTTCTCTATAGAAACAGAGATATTCCATTAGCATTCATCAAATTAAGTTGACATTTGATATAAAAATCACAAAAACCATAAATAAAATATGAAGTTAAGAATTAATGTAAAGGTACCATATCACACCTTTCCTGGATTTTTAAATTTAAGCAAATACATTTTAAGAGTTAAAAAAAATAAAAATAATCGAGGCAGAAGGCCAGGAAAAATATGATTGAAAAATCAATTCATCTACCCTACAGTCTTATGCCAGCAATCCACTTTTTTGTCGAAAATTTTTGCAGGTGAACAAACAACGGACTAATACTTCTCTTGGCTACGACCATAAAATATTTCTCAATCATTCATAGATATTGCTCAAAATTTTCAGTTACTCTTGATTGTTTTTTAAGTTATTAAATTAAAATGAATTGAATTGAGTTTGACTAATTAATTAAATAAGATCCACAAGAAAACATGGGAGGTAAAAACAAAAATACCGCGATTATACTAACGATCGTTCCGAATATGTATCCAGCTAAAACGTCGGATGGATGATGCGAATTGTCTCGAATTCGTGTAAAGCCAACGAATAGAGCGATACTAAGCACGAACATTTGTATAAGTGGTAGGCTACCCAATCCATATAAATGTCGAGGAAAGCGTGCTTGCAAGTACAACTAAATAAATCAGACTTTAGAAAAATATAAATATAAATGAAATACTGATCTTGGAAAATTTGATTTTGAATTCGATTTTAATGATCACTGATCCATATTTTTTACCCTAATTTACCGTCGGCCTCAGAAATATAAAATCCAGCAAAATTCGTGTTCTAAAAATTAACTCAAATTTTTTTGAAGGAAAAACGATAATTGAGAACCATTTTTTAATTTTTAATTCTTTTGAAAAGTTTCAAAATTTGCATAAAACCTAAAAAAGAATTAAGAAATATGATATGGGACATTTTTCCAAGTTTTCGTCCTATATAAAACTACTAGATGTAACGCTTGAAACTCGGAATACTCAGAAAAATTCACAAATTCACAAATACTGTTTTTTATAAGATTCACCGCACAAAAAACCGCGGCAGTCATCGCTATCGACGCATGTCCACTGAAGAATGACAACCTGGCTTGCCGCACTACATTGTAAGGCCCAGTGCAGTTGTACGTTTCGATATATTTAAGCGTATTAGCACATGCTTCTAAATCAATATTTGGCCTACAAACCGCTAGAAAATGTGGTCGTAAGCGTCCAACTGATAATTTGGTTAGTTGACAAATATACAAATTTATGAATATTGCAAATAGACAATGTACTGAAATATTGGCTATTTTTCTTAATTTCGAAACAGACGAAATAATAAAGTCCGGTTTCTCCATAATTCCCTATATTTCACGATTCAAAATGATCGGAGATAGTTCAATTGTCATTTGGTTCTTTAATAGACTTATTATTTTCCATTGAGATAGTTCCATAAACGACAATCATAGTCAGAAATATCTTATTTTCGAAATTGAAATTTTTTGTTTAACTAAATTGGAAATGTTATAAATTGATAAACACCGGCTAAACTGCAATTTTTTTCAAACAGTATCGCACTGGCATTCAATAAAAGTAGTGGAAAACAGAGGTACCTATAAACTCGATGAAGTGGAAAAAGAAATGCACAGCACAAGCTGATTTTGAAGTTGTCCTTCTTTTGTAAAAATCCACTGTATGGAATAATTCGATGCCGCCGATCTGAATAGTCGAAAAACTTAAATTAATCGAACAATATGAAAATGATCCATTTATTCGAGATGATCTGAACCAATCTTTAATTCATAGTATGAATTAATCTTTTGTTTTGTACTAATTTGAATAACAAACATAATCACAAATATATAACTCGATCATTCGAAAGTAAAATTATAGAAATTGGCTCAAGGAAAGTTTACCAAAAGTACAAGAGAAAATGGTCGAGTGGTTGCTTTTACCAAATCATCCATGTGAAATCATCCATCATAAGTTCGGTTCCTATTGCTTGATAGAAGTAAAAATGAAATTTAGGACATGCTACGAACCTACTTATAATTTTTCTATGATTCTGTGGCGAAAAGACATCATCCTGTTGAAAGCAGAACTGGTATAAAAGAAGAAGATTTATACCGGAATATAATGAACAAGTAACGAACTAATTCAAATTTTTCAAATTCCACAAATTCTACAAATTTTTGGTTGTAAGCATTTTTAAACGCCACATGCAAACAATTAGAATATGAGAAACTTACGATCACTACAATCATTACGAATATAATAAAAGCTAAAAGAGTCGAGTTAATTATTTCTTGCTTGTAAGGAAAATAAATTGAATTATCATTGCAGAAAAAACCACGATTTACTGGATTAACAAAATATTCCATTATTATAAGATTTATTCCTGAAAATAGAAATTCAGAAGTGTTTATCTTTCATATTATCATTCGGAATGATTTCGAATTATATATTATAAATTTTTTTTCAAATTATCCTCACCATTACTCGTTAAACTCGCTCCACTCGCTTATCGCATTGGGCAATAGGCCAGGGAATCCCTTAGCGATAGAAATACAGGTAAGTCGCCAGCATAACCCGGATTTTTTGACAGGTTTACTCCTGCGGAGAATCGAATCTCAACATCGGCATTCCCAATTGAGCTACAACCCACTGATCCATTCTATCCCAATTTTAGCATATGTTCATCGGAAAGAACATATACTAAAATTGTAATATTATAGAAAAGATTAGCTTGGCCCCTGTGCAAGGATGACACGCAAATTCGAGAAGCGTTCCAAATTTTTTTTAACACCAAGCTTGGTGAAAAACGGAAACGTTTTAGCGTAAAAGATCAAAAAAAAAATGTTATAAAATCATATTTCTATTATTAGGAATTCATTTTATATTTTTGTCTCGGCTCTCAGCCTTCAGCTTATATTTTACTCAGAGTAACATGGAGGTTGTCCGAACGACTTGCGCTTTTATTCCTATATTATTTACTGGCGTAACTTATTCTCATTAATGTTCTGCATTAAATTAAAGTTAGCCTAACCAATGATATAACGTTTTAAAAAAAAATAGTCTTAACTTATGAATAGTCTTAGCTTTTTAAAAAACAAGTTGCTCTCGTCCTTATGACCAATAATTTCTAGCAAATTTTATTAATATAATTAATAATTATTAATATAAGTAAATTTACTTAAAAGATGGTTTCCATTCTCATGACATTATTAAACCTGAGCAATTGTCCACTGTCAAAAATTTCTATCAATTTAACAGCTTATCAAGCGATAACATCTTACAGAAGAATGTTGGAGATCGTTCACTTACCGATGAGTGTTAGTATAAATAAATCGAATATAATTGCTTTTGAAGAAATTGTTTGATATCTATTTCTGATTAACGATGACAACATAGTTTTATAATCTGATAACTCCATTTATTGACGAACAAATTCTATAATAAAACTTTTTTTATTTATTTGTATATTTTAATACTGATAATAAGCTATTCTTTAATTTTTAATCATTTCTATTGAAGAAATAGATATCGCATTTTCCAACTGCTTTCACCATTTTTACTGGCCTTTGCTGGTCATTAAGATGAGAACCTTTTTTCAGAGAACCACTTAAGATAGGACAAGACAGGATAAATTTACTATTCGAGCGTTCCTATTCTGCCTTTGACAGGAGCAATGTTACCATTGAAAAGTGAATAACAAACAGGGCTGGCTATATTTCCATCTACCGGCAATTTCTTGTGCTTCAATTCTTTACTGTGCTGTTCTATATTATTCAAATACTATATTAGAATAATATAGTAATCAAATAATCAAATGTCTAAAAACTTATCAGAAAGTGAAAGTGACTAACCAATTATTTCTTTTATTACAAAATTACAACTCAGCCACTCGTTGATTTGATTTATTAAGTCACAATAAGTGCCTAAATATTAAAAAATACTGCCCATAATCAAAACTCCATTATGAAAAATTTTTAAAATATTTCTATGAAATATATTCTTTTCAAATAAAAATCTTTGATCATTTCATTATTCAAAATTTTACCAAAAAATTTATTTTAGCAATACTTTTTAGCAATATATTTAAATATTTTATTTTAGGAACTATGTCAAATTAATGCTAAAATATAGTAAATAATGGTAAAATACAGAAAAGAATATATTTAATATATTTAATGCAAAATTTTAAAGTATTTTAAATTAATCTCGCAGTTGATTCATCTAATTGAATGAATCTTGAAATTTCGACATTTTACAATTTTTTATCAATTTGTTTAAGTATATTTCTAAGACTTATAGTATATATGATTAGGCAAAGCAAGCGGTAAGCACTTGCCATTTCCAGTTAAGTCCTCTCACCTGGCTATTAATGGGGCTTAAGATAAGATAAATGATAGATATACTTCTACTGGAGGTGATGTGGTGTCTAAAGCTAGAGGCTAAAGAGATAATCTAAGCAATATCCATTCGGGCATATTTGATAGATTATTATACATTAAATATATTCGAAATAACAATAGGCCGCATTAGTCTCAAAAATTAAAAATCAAAAGCGAAAGATAAAATTTGCAAAAAATTTTAAATTTTTCAGATTTTTTTATATTTACATTGTAATGAATTGCCGTTATATTTTGAAATTAAAATTTTGGAAATTTTGACATTATTATGTTGAAATCAAAAGTTTAATTTAAAAAAAGAATATAACAGATGCAAAAATAACAGAAATAACAAATTCATATTCATATTTTGGATTTTTTAAAATTTATATGTTAAAATTAAACAAATAATAAAGAGAATTTGCAAAAAATCGCATAAAATTGAAAATTTAAATTCGAATTTCAAAATTTAAAACTTTTTTAGAAAAGATAAAATATCTAAAAAAAATGTGATAAAATTTTTTTCCATCGTTCTTAATATTCTATCAATAATGTTATCAATAATGTATTGATTGTAATGACTGAAATTTTCAAAGCATTGTTATCTGTAAATTTTAATATAAACAACATTATAATATTTCACTTAAATGGTTATAGAGAAATGGTTTTTTTTGTGATGTTAATTCAACATTGAATATTGATCGAGTGAGATATTGTTTCAGCTAAGGCCAAGCCATTACAGTGTTGATTTTTGAGTTTTGATTGGAGGAAATCCAAGTGGAGCCAAATCTGAAATTCGATCTACAAGTGGCTATCTGGTGAAGAGATTTTCTCTCTAATAGCAAGTGAGCCAGCCGAAATAGAAATGGTGAGCGCTATTAGAGGATGTGCAAAGGTGGTTGTGACATTTCTATTGCATTTGATCTTCTGCAATAGCTGTTTGCACCATATTATTTTAGTAATCCGTTCCTTTTTTTTGTGTGTGAGTTTAATTGTCCTTGAAAATAATTCCCAGGTCAAATCATGGCCAATACCTTGTTTTCCTTGAAAAGTCTTTTATTCCAACTAGGATTAAAGCGGATCCGAACTTAAAGCCTATAAAAATATTTTAATAGTTTCTGAAAGATTTTTACCTTAATCATGAGTTGACTGTAATTGTATTTCGCCATAACTTTCAGCAAAACGAACTGTCAAAATTCTAAATTGCTTTTCATATTCTATTCGGAAGAACTTGCAGCTCAATTCTACTTTTTAGAATATGGCGCAAAGAACTAAAATGAATAAAAATGAATAAAAAGGTTATAAAGCAAACAAAAAAAAAGATTTGCTTAAAAAAATTGTGTTAAAAATAATTATTATGTGTAATAATTAAAATTAATAATTGAAATAATAATTAAAATACAAATTAACAAAATTGTGTTAAAAATAATTATTATGTGTAATAATTAAAATTAATAATTAAAATACAAATTAACAAAACTGTGCAATAAAAATTACATGAGAAATTGCTTTTACTTTGGGAATTCGCAAGATTTCAAATGAAATGCCCTGAGGGTAAAAATTTTGAGACACTTAAATGATCTATTTTGTTCTTCTTTTCTATCTTTCTCTCAATTATATTATTCAGTCATTTTTGTGTCACCTTATAATCAATTTTAGTCGTTTATTGATATCGATAAAATTAAAGGCTTTTCTCTAAATTCACCAATTTCTCAAATATTAGCTATTTCTCTACGAAATGATTGTTGTGTATTGCGAATGGATGGATGGAGATCGTTGATATTTATTAAACAGAGAACCGCATCGCCCGCTCGTTCTATCGATTTCATTATTTTTATATTTTTTAAATATTTTATTTTATTTAAGAAAATATGTTTTATATAAAATATATATTGCGCAGTACTTTTCAAAGAAATTTCAAATCTCTATTGGTCAGCAAACAGTTTTGCATTACTGTTTTCTCCAAGTTCGATACGATTCAATGAAAATAATGCCTCATTCGTTATGATTTATTATCTGTTTATCAGCAGCCTTTCCCAGCTCCTCCGGTTATTAATTCATTTTTACAGGCATTAGTTCATTTTTTATCTGGCGATAAAACTATCACTGGCTTACCAGAATTGCCCAGATTTTTAATGACAAGTTTACTCCTATCGGAGGGAGGAGGTGAGTTCCTGTCCGAATCACTCGGCCATTCTGTTACTTTACTTTACTTCATGCTGCTATTGGCCTAATTCAAATTTTTCCTCATAATTCTTTTATATTTTTTTCAGCTGCTAATCGAATTCTTTACAGTTCATCCAGAAAACCATTTCCTGGTCGAATTTCAATTCATATGGATTATATTTCATGGATTATAGCCAGAAATCCAGTTATATAATAATTTATTTTGGCTGCTTTCCCTGCTATTACTGCTTTAGAAATTCAGAAACACTGCTGTAGAATGATGAGAAAGAATGATCTATTTTTTGCAATATTTTAAGCCATTTTTTTCCATTTGCAAGCAAACAAATTACTGAGATTTGCATGCAGTGATGATCTAGCAACAACCATCTAATGCAGTTGCTTAGTACTATTCTCCATATAAAGTATCACTGATTGTTTGAATTTCACTAATACAACAAGATGAACTTGTTTAGATAGAGTGAAACAGCATATTTATGCAGAATGTAAAAAGCTGAGAAATTTATAAATTTTTTGCCTTTATTGAATAATACTATGGCATTTTTTCCTTTTTCTTTTTCTGACAACACTCACCATCTCACCATTTCTGATTTGCGCAATTCTACTGGCTATTAGATTTTTCACGTGAGTTTACATATTCCAGCACCGTTCGGAATTTTGAAAGGCAAGTTTCTTTCTGCTGGGGATAAAAGCCCAGCATCACTTGGTTTCCACTTTTAATGGTAGATTTGTTCTTATTGTGGTGAAGGGGTGAAGCCGTAGCGAATGAACTAATATGCTGCTCGGCCTGCCTTTGCCATTAAATGTTTAAAATATTGATTTCCTTC